TAAAGTCTCCCTCATGTTCTTGAAACCACTCCTGCACAATACGAGCACCATGGCATGGCGCATTGTCTTGTTGGAAGAAGCCGTCTCCATTGAGATACGCCATCAACATGATAGGATGAACTTGATCAGCAACGATACTCAGGCATGTTGTGCTATTCAGAGGTTGTTCTACACGAATTAAAGGGCCTAAATCATGCCAGGAAAACATGCCCCAAACCATAACACTGACCCCACCAGTTGAAGGGTTGTACTCATGCATGTGGGGTGCATGCTTTTATGCTGTTTCTGCCAAATTCTCACTCTGCATGATGCAACTAGAAACGTGATTCATCGGACCACATTCATCGCTTGACTGTCCAATCCTGTGTTCCTGTGCGAATTGGAGACGTTTTATCTTGGTAACTGCAGACAGCAAAGGTGTTCGAACAGGCCTTCGGCTTCCATATCCCATACGATGCCGTGTACGACTAATTTGCCTACAAACGTCAGGTGGTCATAATAATCTGGCCACTCAGTGTGTGTGTGTGTGGGTGTGTTTCCAGGTCAGGGAGACTTTTCAAAAAAGAGCTCCATGCCGAAGCCGGTTTGGCTCAGTGGATAGAGCGTCGGCCTGTGGACTGAAAGGTCCCAGGTTCGATTCCGGTCAAGGGCATGTACGTGGGTTGCGGGCACATCCCCACTAGATGTGCAGGAGGCAGCTGATCGATGTTTCTCTCTCATCGATGTTTCTAACTTTCTATATCTCTCACTTCCTCTCTGTAAAAAATCAATAAAATATAAAAAAAATAAATAAATAAAAATAAATAAAAAAAGAGTTCCAAGAATCAGAGGGGAAATGTGTCCTGAACAGAAGGAGCCGCAAAATGTAAAGGCCCGGAGTGAACTATGGGGGATGAAGGGGGGTAGAGTTGAGGCAAGATCTGAAAATGAGTGCCTTGTGGGCACTAGTAATGGCACACCTCCAGCGCCTGCGAGCCCGCAGGAGGTGCTAGTGTGCAGTCAAACCCCTTCCTCAGGCCGATGGCCACCGCATGGGGAGCTCTCCCTGTGTGCCAGGAATTGTGCAGAGCGCTTCCTGCGCGTTACTTCATTAAACCCACTACAAAGCAGCTGCTATTTTGATGCTCAGAGAGTCCAGGTCTCTCCATTAACTACAGAGGCTGTGAAGGGTGGCGCCGGGAGGCAAGGCCCCATCCTGGGAGCCTCAGTGTCCCCATCTGCAGCCTGCGCCAGGGAGGCCTGCCTCCAGCGACCCCGGAGGTCCTACCGCCCTCGGGACAGGCAAGTGGCCGCCCAAGCCAGTGCGTGGCCTCTCACTTTCAATTCCTGGGAAGAAGGTTAAATACCTCCGAGGGGCCCATTGAAGCGGCAGCAAAGGAGGGGGCGACGGAGCGACTTTCAAAGGGACCTGAATGAGCGGCTGCCCCTCACCCCGAGGAGGGGCCCTGCTTCCTCCCCGACTAATGATATTCTGGGCTCAGCCCTGGTCTTTGGCGGCAGTTTAACCCGAGCCGGGGTGGATTTCTTTCTCACTGATCTCAGCTTGACACCCAATTAGCACAAGAATGGGAGGAGGAAGCCGGCGAGAGGCGCCTCCCAGCCTCCCCGGTCGCACGAGGGGAGCAGGCGGGAAGACAAAGGGCAGCGGGCAGGGGGGCACCCGCGCCCTCGCCTCCCCCGCAGACCCCGCCATTGTCTCCCTAGCAGCTTCTGAAGGGATGGAGGCCGACGCCCGGGCTGGCCGGCCTGCTGGAGAGGACTGGGGATGGGGCCCTGGGGGAGCTGGGCCCAACCAGAGAGAGGTGCAGGGAGGAGGGGCAGGGATCCTGAAGCACAGCAGCCTGGGGTGAGGCCTGACATTTAGGGGTCCCAGGGGCAAGCCACTGGTTCTGAGCCTCAGCTTTTCTCATTTGAAAACAGGGGATTGCCCTGGCCAGTTAGGGCATCGTCCGGATACGCCAGGGTTTTGGGGTTGATCTCCCATCAAGGCACATGCAGGAATCAAACTAATGAAGGCATCAATAAGTGGAACAACAAATCAATGTTTGTTTCCTCCTTCCTCTCTCTAAAATCAATAACTTTTTCCCCGAAAATGAGGGTAATAGTCCCTGTGAGGAACCAACCTGGTAATTCATGCCCCTGGCAGGGGCAAAGTGTGCACGGAGTGGAGTCGGCTCAGGAGCAGAGTGAGTCCCAGGCGTTCACAGAATGGCTGCTTTACCCAGAAGGTAGCTCCCAGTCTCTCTGCGAGGAGAAACTGGTGGACCCCCTGCCTGCTGCGGGGGGAAGGATTCCCACTCCTCCAAGAGGGAGGGAATGCCTCTGGCTTTCCCATGCACCTTCTCCCTCCCCACCCCCACCCCCACCTCCCACAACTCCTTTGGATTTGGGTTTAGAAGTGACCTCCAGGGCTGGATTAGGGGCCTCCTCCTGCTCCTACAGTGTCCCCCCTACCTCGTGTTCCCCCTTCATAACACTGATTGCACTGTGTGGTCCATTTCTGGTTTTTAAAAATATTTTTTTATTGACTTCAGAGAGGAAGGGAAAGGAGAGAGAGATAGACACATCAATGATGAGAATCATTGATCAACTGCCTCCTGTATGTCCCCCCCTGGGAATCGAGCCTGCAACCCAGGCATGTTCCCCAATGACCGGAATCGAACCGTGACCTCCTGGTTCATAGGTTGATGCTCAACCACCGAGTCTGATTTTTTTTTTTAAATCCTCACCTGAGGATATTTTTTCCATTGATTTTGAATCTAGATAGAGTGGAAGGGAGGGAGGAGTGGGAGAAAGAGAGAGAAACATCCAAGTGAGAGTGACAAATCAATTGGTTGCCTCCTGCACATGTCCATACGGGGGCTGGGGAACCTGTAACTGAAGTACATGCCCTTGACCCTTTGGTCCCTCTAACCACTGAGCAACCAGCCAGGGCCGTTTTATACGTTTTTCCATCTGTGTCTCCTAGAACAGTGGTTGCCAACCTTTCGGACCTCACGAACCATGAGTAGTCTGCGGACCACTGATTGTCAACTGCTGTCCTAGAACATCAGCCCTTGAAGGCAGGGACCCCATTGGTTTTGTTCACCATTGTATTCCCAGCACCAGCACTGGGCCTGGCACTTAATAGGTGTTCAGTGAATGTTTGTGAAATGGATGAAGCTCTTCAGATGCTCCTCAGCTCTCTGGTGCAGGAGGTGGGGGTTCCCAGGGTCAGAGGATATTCAACTCAGAGGTAGGCTGGGATCAGAGGGCTCTTGAATGATTTCTGGGAAGGCCCTTGTCTTGTTAGTAAAGAGAAGCCCATTAAATGATTTTGAGCAGGGGAGTGATATGTGTTCATTCGTTCATTTATTCATTCAGCAAGCACTTATCAGACCCCAACAATGTGCAGTATCAATACCATGAGCTAGGGATCAAAGATGATCAGGCAAGGTTTGTACCCTGGGGCAGCTGGATCCAGTGAAATAATCTTAGAGGAACATTTTTGTTGAAGGGACTTTAAGATCCTTTGGCCCTAAACCTTTTTGACAGATTGGGGAAACTGAGTTCCAGAGAGGAGAAGTAACCTATCCAGCATGATGAATGTGGGGCCTCTCTGTTTACCACAGGATTCCTTTGCACTGTTTGAGAACCAGGGCTGTGTCTCATTTGTCCAGATTTGGTGACTGGGTGTAGGAGAGGATTAAGAACAATGTCCAAGGTTTCTTGTTTGAGTGTTTCAGTGGGTCGCAGTGGTATATTTTTAAAGAAAAGAGGCACTGTGCCCAAAACTCATTTAGTCCTCACTAAAGCCCTATGAAGAAGGGCTGTTATTATCTCCATTTTACAGACTAGGAAACTGAGGCACAAAGATGTGTAGGGACTTGCCCAAAGATACAGCTAGGAAGTGGTGGGACCTAGATAGTAAGCTGGTAGTGAACTCAACCTTTTAACCATTACATCATTCTGCCCTTAACCAGCAGACTACACCACCCTACTCTACCAATGCTGAGTAGACATCCCCTTCACTCTATTTGTGCTCGGAGCTGTTGTAACAGGCTGCAGTGGTCTCCTATCTTCTTCCTTGTTCCTCTCCAAACCACTTTCCACACTGCAGCCAGAAAGGGTATTTTGAAACAGTTCTAATAAAGTCGCCCCCTCTTAAAACTCTTCAAAGGCCGTCCATTGTTCTTAGAATAGAGACTGAAATTCTTACCTGGCTGACAAGGCATGATTTGGTCCCGGCCCACTTTTCTAGCCTCATCTCTCATCAGGTTCTTTGTTCCCCAATTTGCACCTTCCTGTCCTGTTGATCCAGCATGCTCTCCCACCCACAGCCTTTGCACCTTCTGATCTCCACACTGGAATGCTCCCGGAGCGTTCTCTCCCCTGACATCCGACTCCATAATTCTCCCCAGGTTTTAAAGCTCAGCTCAAACTCTGAGTCACTTTGAGGTTTTACATTTACTAGGAAGGCTGATGTGTTTACATGATCAGCGTTAGTTTCCCCTACTCAACTGTGAATGCCCCATTGCAGGCATCTTGTCCAGCCGGTTCACTACGGCGCCCACAGCACCCACCAAGATGCCTGGTCCACAGAGGACGTGCAATAAATATCTGTAGAATGGGTTAAATCCAACTAGACAGCGAAGGGAGTGGTTGGATGGCGAGTGGACAACTCAGGAGGGAGATTTCTGGGCTGTAAATAAAGACTGGAGGGGTCACTTATTCAGAAGGGTGGACGGGCTCGCACAAGCGGTGTGCGGACAAGATAGTTGTAACTAATCCCAAGATAAACAGTGACGTGGCTCACAGTCGCTGCGCCAAGAAGCGGCGGGCTCTCCTCCGCCTGGGTGTGGCTTACAGGTCGCTGTCCACCTTGGGGTCTGAGCTCCTTCCCTAAAAGACAGTGAGGGACCAACTCAAAGGACCACCCCCTGCCCCGGCCCCCGTGACCTTCCCCGCCCACTCGGGCCTTTGTCCAATAGCTGAGGACAACGGCTCCCTGGGCACCGCCTCTTCCGTCAGCGGAGACCGGAAGTGGGGCGAGAGCGCCGGAAGTTGAAGGGAGTTTCCTGCGACCTCGGCTTCCTCAACATGGCAGCGCCCTTATCAGTGGAGGTGGAGTTCGGGTGAGTCACAGAGTTGGGGGCGCCGTGGGGATGGATTGAAGTCTTCAGGCCCAGAACTCCTCTCCCTCTGCTTTGGGGCCTGTCATGACCGAATCTCCGAGGTTTCTGGCGCGTTCTTTGAGCTACGCCATCCGCCTCGGAGGGTCTGAAAGGCTCGGTCTCCTTTGGCGACGAGGCCGTAAGTCCGGGAATAGAGGCGCACGGCCGGGCGGGGAGGTGCGCTCTGGACACTCTTCAGTGCCCTCTACCCTGCCGGACTCAAAAGGCGTGATGGTTGGCAGGCGGGCTCCCCGCTTTCTTTGCCAATCCCGTTTTGGACCAAGCCCATGTGTCTGGCACCTGATCTAGAGCCCAGAAGGACTCCCGTACACTCCTGCATGCTTTTTTCCTGGCAGCAAGTCCACTTGCAGGGTTCTTGAAGCCTTGATTCTCGTGGGAGGTGTGGCCAAGACGAGACTCCTTTCTTCTCTTTCTCAGGTTAAACATACCGGAGCCCCTTTTAGGACGTTCAGTGCATTGACTGAGCCCGTCTGCAGGCAGGTGGAGATAGAGGGCTAAGGTAGCGCAGTGGGGAAGACTAACCCTGACAGTACAGTGTGCACAGATGAAAAGTACAGGAATCGGAGTATGCATAGCAGTAGCTGAAGAAACACTGATCAGGGAGGGTGTCTCCTCAAACCACTACTTTCTGTCCTCTATATATGATTTCAGAGCTAAGAGAAACTGCTGAGCTTAGAAGGCAAAGGAACTGACACCCTAAGTCTTAGGGCCTAAGAGATGGGTGGTGTAATTTCCAGTCATATGGAAGCTTGAGAGTGTGTGTGGGGGTGGGGGATGGGGCGGTAAACAAGCCAGGGCTTATGTGAAAGGAAAAGTCTGAAATGGGGATATAAAACCTCTGTCCCTAAACGCCTTTTCTTATGTTGGATGCCCCCAGTTTCTTTCATGCTTTCCCTTCATTGGGTAGTTTATTCACTAGTCATTTATTGAGTGCCTACCATGTGCCAGGCAGTGAGCCAGACACGGAGGATACAAAGATAAATGGAACTCTGTCCATGTTCTCCAGTGTTCAGCATTTCTGTCCCTTAGGGGGAGGCAGCCTCATGAATGTTAAATGCGTTTTAATTGATGATATTGTCTAGCTCCTTGGATCCAGTTAGAACCATACTGATTTGGACTCCTGACTGTTTTGCTTCACTGACCCTTGGCCCAGCCATGGCCCCCATAGCCTAGAGGTTCCAGGAGATCCCTGCTGCTTTGACAGGCCTTAGCAGAGCTGAAAATGGGGAAGCTGCCGACTGCCAATGTTAAGGTTTAGCTACAGCCACCCTCACCTTTCAGTCCCACTGAGTCAGACATGGTATTTGTTGATCAAAAATGTCTTCTGTCGTTCAGCAGTAGGGAATTCCTGTGAAGAAGATATGGTCCTTGCCTCCAGAGCTTAGAGACTAGCTTAATTACCCCTTTTCTGGCCAGACTCTGTCTAGCCTCAGCCTCCCTTATCCCCAAGAG